CCATCCCATTTCTCTTTTTCTCCCCTCTTCATTACTTCATTAATTACATGGCTTTTCAAAACCAGCTGTCCCCATATCTGGGCAAACATACCAATTTTTGTTCTGGGAGGGTTTCACAGGTATAGCTGCTACCTTGGAAGAAGCCTCTGGCTCTGGCAGTTCCTTTTTTTTTTTTTTTCCAAAACCCTTTCTTGGCCCCTTTTCCCAATTATGAAGCCATCTTATATACTAGATACTTTTAAACCTCTCATATAATTCCAGTATAAACTTACTGGTCCCAACTCAAACTTTGCTAGCTTTATCTCCTTTTACTCCTCCACTTTACCCAATCCACCTAGAATTTGGCTATTTCTAATCAGCCTAAGATCATTGCTCGTGATGTTCTTACTACATAGCGTCCCGTTACACCTTCTCCAGCTGCAGCAAACTACACGGTCTTTAAAAAACAGTTCAAACACCAACTCTTCTGAGAAACTTTGCCTGACTTTCCAAACCTGTAAGTGGAAAATTAATGAAAAGAGGAAGAAACTATGTGGTTGGACACTGGATGCCTCAAGAGCATGCAGGATTAGATTTACCATGAGGAAACAGAAGAGCACTGGTGGTGCAGAGGTCAAGCCCTGAACTGCTAACCAAAAAGTCTGCAGTTTGAATCCATCAGCTGGTCTATGGGAGAACAGTGGCAGTCTGCTCCAATAAAGATGTACAGCCTTGAAAACCCTATGGGGCAGTTCTACTCTGTCCTATAAGGTCACTGTGAATCAGAATCACTCGACGGCAGTGAGTTTGGTTTCAGTTTATGAGGAAACAAACACTGGCAAGAATTAGAGAAGCAGTTACAGTAACTTTCCCCGCTTCAGGTTTTGCCCATGATTAAGTAGGATGGCGAGCTTAGGATGAAACCATCTCTGAGCTTCAACTTCCCTCCACACCCTTGAAATCTGCCTTCCTCCATATCTTCCAGAGAATCCATGTGCATACAGAAACACACAGTTCTATCTTCAGTCCTCACAGATACTCTTAAGTGACCAAGAGAGACGAAATTGTCCATCCCTCAGAGAGATGTTTTTCCGAACCCACCTCAACGTACTCAGTGAGAAAGGTCCAAACCTGAATGGAGACTTGAGCTGCAGTCCTCGAAGATCCTGTTGGCAGGACGCCAGGGAATCCTACACAGAGGATCCCACCCTGAGGCTATTCGGGAACCAATACAGCTCTGGGCAAGACGCGAAAGCTCCACCCCTGTGCCGCTAGGTCTTCTCGGTTTCCGGATAGTGGCCCCTCGAGTCACTTTGTGTCTCATTTCTCCGCGCCAGAATTACTTCAGGGGGTGCGAGGACCTCCCGCTCCTCTCAGCTCAGATAACGCCTCAGGCTTCCCCTCCTGCCCAGACTCACCTCTTACTGAGAGGCCGGACCCTCAGGGCCACTCGCACATTCGCCATCCCTCAGCCACAGCCCAAGTCCAACAGGCTGGTCAAGCGGCCGCATCCTCAACCCCAGCTCCAAGTCCAGAAACCTCCCCAACCCGACCCCGCCCATCCCACGAGCCTCCCACGACGGTCGATTGGGAGGGAGGCCCGCAGAGCAGCGACCAATCCTGAATGTGGTGGGCGGGAGGAGTCCAGGCCCCGCCCCTCCTCGCTCCGCCCACACACATTTTTAGGGCCGCACCTGCCCTCACGCGCATCGAATCCCAGACGGGGCGGTCCCTGCAGAGCTGCTGCCAATCCTGAAGTTGGTGGGCGGGAGGGCATCCAGCCCCGCCCCTCCACCTCTCTAGGGTCGCCCCCAACTTTGCGAGCGAAGCAGTGAGGCGGGGGCGGTGCCTGCCAAGCGGCGGCCAATCCTGAGCCTGCCACACTGAAGAGCGCAGATCCGATGCGGCTAGTGCCAGACCAGTGTGCTGCAAGCAAGCGAGCTCGTTCCTTGGTTTTGGGATTAACTGTTGGCTCTTGGCAGCGTGCCTCGGGTGGCGTAGTGCCTACGGCACTTGACTGCTAACCAGCAAGGCTGGCAGTTCAAACCCACCAGCCACTCCTCAGAGAGAAGGTAGTGATACCGCCTTGGAAACCATCCAACTCGAGGGCAGTGAGTTTGGTATTGTACATAACTAGAAATCCAAACCAAGCCCGAGTCGTGTTGTTGTTGTTGTGTGCCACCTTATAGTACATACTGTCTCATCTTTCTCCCAGGAAGCACCTGGTGAGTTCCAACTGTCGACCTTTCACAATGCCGCCAGAGCGCCTATGTCCATGATATATAGATTCAAGCATAAGTTTTGGTTAACGCCTTAACGCCTGGAAGGCTTATAAAGTGCTTTGCTAAACGTCTTAATTTACTACATTGACTTGAACTGGCAAGTCTTACATTTTATAGGCCTATAAAATGGGGAATACCCACGTTTTTGCCGTTCCTAGCAAAGCAACAGTTTCTCTGAAAAGGAGTTTGGAGTGGGGGAGCTTGGGGGGGAGGGGCTAAAACGAGGGAGAGGCGTTTCGAGTGGGGAGAAGTATTTGGAGTGGGTGCTTTCCAGCGAGCTTCTTTTAATTGTTCTGGAACCTCATGGCCACCCTGATAGTTCTTGTGGTCCGGGAGGGAATGCTGTTTGATCACATTTGGTTCATTAATTCAAAAAGAAATAAGTATTAAATACTGAGTCAGCATTGTCCTAAGGCACAGAGGATATGCGGCCAAACAAAACAAAGTCCCTGCCTCCTCAGCACTTAGACTATACTGTGAAGGGAGAGGTGACAATCAATACATAAAGGTATGTCAAATGGTGCTAGGTGCAACAAAAAAGCAAACTGGCAGGGTAAGAAGATACAGTGATGGCCTCTCTATATGTAGGGGGATGGTGCTATACTGGTTATAACTAGTAAAGCACTGACTTTCACTTATTAAGTGCTAAGATCTGATTGCTTTTCATGTATTATCTCATTTAATCTTCCTAAGATTCCATGAAATACTTTTATCATCTTTGTTTTACAGATGAGAAAATCGAATCTGATTAAATAAATAACAAAAAACAGAAGAGGAACCTGGATTCAAAAATGGGTCTAATTCTAGAGCTAGTGCTCTTCCTCCCCACATGATAGTAGCTAAAGTAGCTCATCTTAATCCCACATGCCCTCTCCATCCCCACCCCAAATTCAGGAGGCTTAAAGCACATCTCTGAAAGTTGAATAAAAAATTTATCAGAACTTAATCATAGGTACTAAATTATCTTTTTCCTTTGGGGGATACCTGAAGCTCAACTTACCTCAACTTTTTGTGAGTCAGAAAGTCTATGCTTATACTTTAACTGGGTAAGCTAAATAAAGAATCATTTCTTTGTATTACTTAGGATTCAGACAAGGGCCACAACATTTTATTAAGAAATATTAATATTTTAAAAAAGGTTTATTTTATTATCTTGAAAAAGATATAATAGAAAACAGAAATAAAGCCAAAACAACCAAGCATATCAATATTCATAACATGAAAGGAAAGATATACACATGTATATAAACTAATATAGGAAATCACATGAAGACAAAGCTTTGAAACCAAGGCTGGGCTTGAATAGATTTCTGATGAAATACAACTGAAGGCTTCACTTAAGTGTTAGGTAATGTTCAAGATATTATGACCACTCTTCTATATTCCATTTGCACAAATCAGCAAAGTAGACTTCAAAACATGATCCCTGGTTGTTCAGGATTTTTTTTAATGATCCTATATCTTTAAGAGCAATTACTTTACTTATCCCATTTACTATGTCCTGAAGTTTTCTTGTGTTAAGGCGTATGTGTCAGTGAGCCCTTGTCATGTAGAGAATTCAACAGTACAAAAATACCGTACACATTTAAAAATAAAACAGAACCCCAAATCTGAAAATACAATAAACCAGGGGTAGTTATATTACTGATGCAAATCAGTACCTTCTGAGGCAGTTGTATCATTCTACCACTCCATGTTGTACACACAATAATTTTAGACTAGGTAAAATACCTGAGCACTTTATGAGGTAAACCTCTAAAGTTTCATTAGAATATGCTGCTTTTCTTTTTATTCTACTTTTCTTTTCTACCTATACCTAAGGCTGCCAGTGAACACCCCCAAGAATTGCTTAGTGTGTTTACTGGCTGTAGCAAGTTCAACAATTTACTAAAAGGACTCAAAAGACTCAGAATATATCATCATATTCATAGTATGAATTATTGGAGTAAAAGGATAAAAAGCAAAATAGCAAAAGGAAAAACCACACAGGGTGAATTCTAGGGGAGAAACCAAGCACAAGTCCTCTCCCAGTGGAGTCACATAGGATGAACTTAATTCTTCCAGCAACAAGTTGACAGTATGTGTGAAATGTTGTCTCCTAGAGAAGCTCATTGGACACTGGGTGGCCAAGGTTTTCACTAGGAGGTACTCATGTAAACACCCTCTGCCCAACATGTATCAAAATTCCAGACTCCAAGAAGGAAAGGAAGTATTCTGCATAAACCACACAAATAGCAACTCTTAATCAGTCAGTGTAATGGAACATTCCTGAAATCTATGTTCCCAGATGCCAGCCAAGTGCCAACCTTGTAAACAGGCTTTTCAAAGTCAGGATTGCTATGTTAATGCTTTGCTGCTCACTTTGTCACAATTCCACAAGAATAATCAGCAGACAGTTTCAAATTCAAGAAAGCTCTTCTAGTTCAGGAATATGCATGTTTAAAGACATTTAATAGAGATTCTGCTGCCTGAGAAATGAATGGTTAATGTACTCATTTTCAGAAACCTCATAGTTATTATTTGTTCCTCAGTTTCAGTGAAAACTGAAATTAAAATATATGGGGGCAAAAAAAGAAAATTCAGGTTGGTTTTAATGAACCTGGAATCCTGGTACTTTAACATAAAGAGAGCTCTTTCAGTATTGCTAGCAGCAAAACCTACAAATACCCAGGCCACATTTGATTAGAAATAGACTTATTATGATTATACATAATGAAGCCAAAATAAAACAGATGATGTTCATTTAGCATTAATAGTTTGGATATGAACTTTAGAATTAAAAGGTAAAGGAGGCATTATAATGTCATGTTTATGAAGGTCATTTTCTTCAGCTAATATTTTAGGGACACAAGAGGAAACTTCCCTTTGTTGTTCTCGCCACTTGAGTATATTCTCTGCTAGTTCTTCTGTCTCAGTTACCAAAATATCCATCTTTGCTAAAGCTTTGCTCTGTAATATTTGAAAAGGGGAAACAGAAATTACATGCCTGTCATTAATTCTTCATCATTTCATTATAATTATGATACCAAAGTTAACATCAGATCTTTTTCCAGACCCCTAATACAAAAACCAAACCCAACCCACTGCCATCGAGTCGATTCTGACTTACAGTGACCCTATAGAACTACCCCATAGAGTTTCCAAGGCTGTAAATACTTACAGAAGCAGACTGCATCATCTTTCTCTCACAAAGTGGTAGTGGTTCAAACTTCTGACCTTTTGGTTAGCAAGTGAATGCTTTAACCACTGTGCCACCAGAGCTCCTCCTCCCTAATAGAAAAGCTCCTTAAAATCCTGCTCCCCCACTTCTTACAGTATAGACCTTCTCTCTGTGAGTTCAGCTCACCTTTGTCTTCAATTATCACCTCAATACAAATGACCCTCAAATCTACACTGTCGAACCTAACCTTCTTCCTATAATTCAGTCCCACATTTCAGTCTGTTGGAACAATTACTATCTCAAACTAGTTTAACTGCAGTTCAACAAACATTGATTGGATATCTTCTATATGTGTAAGACAAGACAGAAAACAAACTTGTTAACTTCTTTAACCCATAATTCATCCTATTTACCCTGAAGTCACTCAGGCTAGAAATTCATTGCTTTGGATATGTCTCTCATCCAAACAGTACCCATGATATAGAAATTCTACCTTTAAACCCTCTCCAAAAACCTACAGAATCCTTTCTATCCCCATGCTTTAAACGTTTGTTTGAATAACTGTAATTATGTTTAACATTCTCCTCCTTTGGTTTCTCTTCTAATCCAGAGCCTCTCTTTAACATGCATAAGATTCACCTGAGGATCTTGTTAAATTAGGATTGATTCTGAAGGTCTAGGTAAATGAAGACTGCAATTCTCCATTCCTAACAAGGTGATGCTAATGTTGATGTTCTCTACCCACAAGCAAGGCTCAGTCTAATTTATCCAATATTTTTCTCATGATTAAGGCACAGTTTTGAACATGTCACTGCCCGGTGCCCTTCACTTAAAAAAAAAAAAAAAAAATTCAATGTGTCCCTATTACTCACACAGTGATGTCTAAACCCCTTACTCTTGTTTTCAAGGCATTCCATAAACGAACCCTAAGCTAATCTCCCCTGCTCAACAGGAGGCAGCAGCCAAAATGTAGTACAACTCTTTCCCCAACTACCTGTGTGTTTTGGTTACCTAATACCACTCTAACAAGAATATACCACAAATGGGATGACAAACAAGAGTTTATTCTTACAATTTGGAGGCTTTAAGTCCAAGTTCAAAGTACCAAGCTCTAGGGGTTGGGTGAAAGCCCCTCAGCCTTGGGCTTCAGCTCTGCCTCCAGCTCCCGGCCCACTGAAGCTAGAGGTTTTTCTTCACTCAGACAGCTGCTGGCTGTTGAGACTGACAAGCCCAAGGTTGACAAGTAAAAAGGCACAATCCTTATGTTACCAAACCACACAGCAGGCCATTAATTCAAGTCCACTGTAAGTCCCAAAGTCGGCAGAGCATGGCAGGCTGCTGAACATGACACAGCTACATGCAGGGTTCAAGTGTGAGACCATTCCCCAAGACTTCTGCTTATATACAGGAAGCAGATCACATTCCCTAAGGCAGCTACACAGCTGCTCACAGTAGATTCCACCATGGAGTTGATTACCAGTCCCATCATGGGAACTACTATATCCAGCTGCCCAGCCACTCAACCAGGCCCAGCCAAGTTGACACACAAATTGAACTACCACACTGTGCTCTCTGACTTTCATGTCTTTATTCACATTGTTACTTTTGTCTGAACTATTCTTTCTAATGTATATCTAAATCCTACCGATACGTCAGGATTCAGCTCACCATACACTCCTCTATAAAACTTTACTGAAGTCTTCCTACCTCCCATTCTACTCCCAATGACACTAAATTGAAAGTCACCCCTCCAATTTTTGTGCTCAATAGACTGCATCATCTTTATAATTTTGTGCCATACTTAATATGCAAATACAGTAATATGAAGTAGAAAGTATATATGTTATAGCAGTCTCACCAAACTTCTGAGACTTTTCAGGGCAGGGACTGATCTCTCACAATACCTAATAGCACAGCCCTTTAGTTAATGAAGACAACATGTATTTATTAGATGTTGGAATAAAAGAATGTGAAATAACTTCCAAAGAAAAATGATGTAGAAAGGAAAGTAATTTTGGTTTTTAAAATAATGAACTCATAATATTTACAATCAAAAAGTTAAACAAAGAGATCACATATTTGAGATTTTGGTATAAAAATTAAGAACAAAAAACAAACTAAGCCAACTGCCACCAAGTCATTTCTGACTCATACTGACCCTTTAGGACAGAGTAGAACTGCCCCATAGGATTTCCAAGGCTATAAATCTTTATGGAAAGCAGACTACCTCATCTTTCTCCCATGGAGCAGCTGGTAGGTTTGAATTGCCAACTTGTTGATTAGCACCCAAATGCTTAACCACTGCTCCACCAGAGCACCTAAAACTAAAGTAAGACAGCTAAAAATAATGTGAAAGGAGTTGATGAGGTATTAAGATACTATCACTGTATTAATACTTACCATGTTCTTTAGGTTTGCATCTAAATGGGGGATATTTCTAATTGTTTCAAGATGGATTTCTAATTTCTCAATGAAAGTTACTGCCAACTCCAGTAAATGTACCATGTATCTAGAAGAGGGAGAAAAAAGTCAACTTTTTTTTAGCTTAATTTTGTATTTCCCTCCTTTTTTTTTTTTCTTACTTTTAATTCGAGAAAAGAGAATTACAATCAAGCCAGTAACAATCTTTCCACATTCATGGAAATATTAGGGTAAAATGGTTCTCTTTTACTTTATGTAGGACCTATTTGTCATCCCTATAGAGAAATGGAAAGAGACTACACTAATCATAGCTGAAACCCAACCTAATTTTAGACAAACTTCAAAGTTAATTATTTTCTTATATAAGGTGAAGGGCTTTTTCCTAGATAAAACCTAATTCCATTTTAATCTACTCTTTCTCAGTGAAGAGTGAGGACAATAAGGGTAAATGTACTTCATAGAAACAGTCTACACATAAACTATTTTGAATCTCTGTATTTGCAAAATGCTTTAAAATCATTACTTAGTTCTTCTTTAAGGAGCTCTGGTAGCGTAGTGCCTAAGACACTTGACTGCTAACCAGAAGGCTGGCGGTTCAAACCCACTAGCCACTCCTCAGAAGGCAGATGAGGCAATCTACTTCTGTAGTGATACTGCCTCAGAAACCCAAGGAGGGGTCGTTATGAGTCGGGTCCAACTCAACGGCATATAACAACAACAACAGTTCTTTGATGTAGTAAAATATATGTTTTAATGCATTAATGACTATGTACTGTACTGGACAGATACTGACACTATATCCATGAGAATGAGATTTTGTATATTATTTTACTACAAAGTAAATACCCTGACACTTAAGAGAAGACAATGATCTACTCAGGGTCAGCTAGTGAAGCATTGGTGGAGAAAGTTAGCAACAGATCCCAAATGCCTACTCCTTTGTTTATTAGTAATAAACTGTATCTTCAACTTCATAGTTGTAATACTCCTATAAGGAAGAGACAAACAGAAATAATCTCTGTTCTATGGATTGGGAAACTGAGGTAAATTTAAGTCATTCACATGTAAACAGCAAAGATGAGACCAAAACTCAGTTTTTCTCTCCCCTAGTTGATATAATTTTCATCTGTCTCTGCTTAAACCTCCCTCTTATCCATGCCACTCCCAAAAGAATTTTTATGTATAAAACCCAAAAACCAAACCCACTTCCATCAAATTGATTCTGACTCTTAGTGGCCTTATAGGACAGAGTAGAACTGCCCCATAGGGCTTCTAAGACTGTAAATCTTTACAGAAACAGACTGACTCACCTTTCTCCCACAGATAGCTGGTGGGTTTGAATCTCCGACTTTGTGGTTAGCAGCTGAATGCTTTAACCACTGCACAACCAGAGCTCCTTTCTTTAATATACATGTAGACAACATTAACTCAAGGATAAATTTATTTTATGGAAAAGTCTATATTAAGAAAAACAATTTTACCTTTGCTGCATGCACGGACCTAATTTCTTTCAGAAAATCATCTTTTTTAATTTCCACAACATAATAACAAAAGGAACCCCTTTCTTTTCACCATAGCTATAATTCTTTAAAAGCAAGGATTTTCTAGTTTAATGTATCATCATTAATAATAATGTTAACAGATATAATCACTGATACACTGTTTAAACTAGTCTAAATAAACCCTATTCTCAGAGTATAAGTGTAAATCTCTTAATTTCTATTTTTCAGCACTACCTGTGATATACAACTTCAATAGGCAAGTTTTCCTGGCATATGGGTTTCATCAGTCTGTGCCTGAGGGACCTCTTCTCTTTCAGCACTGCTTCCAAATGATTATTCATGCTTTGCAGGGTATGACATTTCTGAGCTACACAAACCAGAAATAAGAATTATAATTACCAATGAACAAATAAGCATGGAATCACTTATCATTTCTTTGCTCTGGTTTAATGTTACCAATGTCAAACCCACCATTTTCCTCCTAAATTCTCCCTTCTGTTATTTTTAATATCACTATCATGTTCCGTATCAACTGCTTTCTCTTACTTTTTCTACTGACAACCAACTTCTGTGCTAAATTCTTTCTGTTTCTCCACTGTACCTCCACTTCAGTTAATATAGTTGGAGCCATACTCTTCATAATCTCTTTTCCTGTCCCTGCCTCTAATATGCAACATGGAACATTGAAAAACAAAGTCTCTTATAAGGTATTTCTGATTATCTCAATATTTTCCCCAGAATTCAGTTAAAGACTGCCAATTTCTTCTTCTTTTAAATTTTTATTTTGAAAATATTTCAGACTTACCAAAAAGTTTCAAAAACAGTTCAATGAACTCCCATATATGTTTCACTGACACTCACAAATTGTTAATATTTGGCTATATTTTCCTTTTTGCCAACTTACTCTACACATTCATAAACCAAACCAAAAAGCCTAATCTGTTGTCATGGAGTCAATTCTAACTCATGGCAACCCTATGTGTTACAGAATAGAACTACTCCATAGGTTTTTCTTGGCTGTAATCTTAACAGGAACAGATCACCAGGACTTTCTTCCACAGTGCTGCCGGGTGGGTTTAAACCACCAATTTTTAGGTTAGTAGTCAAGTGACTGTCCTTGACTTCAGTCTTTTCTCCAAGGAGTTGTGTTTCCTTTTGGTGGAGAATAGTATTTAGAAAACAAGTTCTGGGCACTAGTTGTACTCATTATCGATAGGTTGTCATTATTCTAGACTCTTTCAGTAGACAGAGATAAAAAAAAAAAAATCCACATACACAGGTAGCCTGATTTATGATGGGATTCCATTCTGATGACTCCACTGTAAATTAGTTCTAACGTAAGTTGAATATCTCATTTTAAAAATTTTCATTATTTTTGCCCTTTAATATCAGTATCTTTATAAATCTTTGTTTTTCTTTGGGAGTTAGAAATATTACATATAAACTTACAGATACATTTTAATACATACATACATTAAAAATACAAAAAATACAATAAAAATTTATTCCAACAATGAAGAGAACCTGGACAACATTGGTGTTTTGTCAGCTGCAGTAGTAACTCCCTTGTAGAAGTTCTGTATCATCTGGATTATGCCTGGGAATGGGGACAGCATTTCTAATCAGAAAATTAGTGAGAGTTGTCTACATGGTCCTTTTCTTTTTTAATTCATATATTTCATGGTAGTAACATCTCACTGCTTCCTGAATTTGCCTACTGACTTTAGCAAAGACATCAGCATTTGAGACTATGTTTTCAAGCAACTAAAGCTCCTGATTTGGTAAAGAAAAATCTTTAGCTCATCCTTTCACTGTAAAATTTTTTGACAACTTCTCTCCTCCTTCTTCATTATCTCTTCTTCACCATCATTTCATCAGTAAACTCACAGGAATCTTCTTTTGGATTTGGTCTCCTATCCAAATCACCAGTTATTTGTGCAACTGTCCTTACTCTCCTTTTCTGACTTGTTCTTTCCCCATTAACATAAACTCACTGCCCCCTAAGGTTCCTATCTAATCTTTCATGTTACTGTTGTCAATTTGATACCATTTAGATAGTTCTTAAAAAGACCATAATGTTCAAGGCAGACCTATTTTACTAGTTAAGTACTTGTTTGCTTTTAAGAAAAGTTAAGGGGATATTTTTGGTTTAGGTTTAAAGATTATCGCAGAGTAATAGTTGTAGGGGTTCACCCGTCCCTCCATAGATCCAGGAAGTCTAGAGTCATGAGAATTTGAAATTCTTTTGTGTAATTTTTCCCCTTTTGGTCAGGATTCATCTATGGAATCTTTGATCAAAAGGTTCAGTAATGGTTAACCGGGCATCATCCAGTTCTTCTGACCTCATGGCAGTTGTTCATAGGGGCAATTAGCCACATACTCCACATGGTCCTTCTGTTCCTGACTATTCTTCTTCCTCTGTTGCTCCAGGTGGATAGAGACCAATTTTTGTCTCTATTGCCTTGGAAGGCCTCTTGCAAGCTTTTAACACCCCAGGCACTATACAATGAACTAGGAGGAAGAACAGAAGTACTAAACACATTATTAAGTCAATTAACTAGGATATCTCATGAAACCATGACCCGAACCAAGGAACCAAATGCCATGAGGTGTTTGGTTGGTATCTAAGCAACCTCAGAAGCTACTCTTTTTTTTGTCTTTTTGGTTGTTGTAAATATATCCATCTTACAACTACTTTTTACAGGTATACAATTATTGACAGTCATTACAATAATCAGCTATGCAACTCTACCTTAATCAATGTGATTTTTTTCCATCACCATTAACACCACTTTTCCCTCTCCCTCCTGCCCTGGTAACCACTAATAAACTGTTCTCTATACATTTGCCTTTTATTATCTTTTTACATAAGGAGGTCCAGTGGTGCAGTGGTTAAAGCATTCAGCTGCTAACCAAAAGATCAGTGGTTTGAACCTACCAGCTGCTCCACACGAGAAAGAGAGGTAGTCTGTTTCTATAAAGATTTACAGCCTTGGAAACCCTATGGAGCAGTTCTACTCTGTCCTACAGGGTTGCTATGAGTCAAAATAAACTCAATGGCAGTGGGTTTTTGGTTTTGTCATTTTAGGTAAGTGTGCCCATACAATATTTGTCCTTTTTGTGATTTACTTCTTTCACTCAGCATAAAGTCTTCAAGCTCTATCCATATTACACCATGTATCAAGACTTCATTTCTCCTACTGGCTGAGTAGTATTTCATTATATGTATGTAGCACATTTTGTTTATCCATTCATCTGTTGATGGGCATTTAAGTTTCTACCTTTTGGCTACTATAAATAGTACTGCAGTGAACACTGTTAAACAAGTCTCTGTTTGAGTCTCTGCTTTCAAGTATTTTGCGTATATACGTAGGAGTGGAATTGCTGGGTCATATGGTAACTAGCTCCATTTTCAGTTTTTTTGAGGAACTACCACATTGTTTTCCAGAACAACAGTACCATTTTACAATCCCACCAGCAATGGATAAGAGTCTCAGTTTTCCCACATCCTTGCCAACATTTGCTATTTTCTGCTTTTTGTTGTTGTTGTTATCTCAGCCATCCTAGTAGGAAGAGCTGTGACAGCACGATAGGTAACACATTTGGCTGCTAAACAGAAGGTCAGCAGTTCAAACCTACCAGCTGCTCCATGAGAGGAAAATGAGGCAATCTACTTCAATAAAGATTTACAGCCTTGGAAACCCAACAGGGGTCACTTTGAGTTGGAATCAATTCGATGGCAATAGGTTTGGTTTATCCTAGTAGTAGAGTAATAGTAGCTCATTGTAGTTTTGATTGGCATCTTTCTGATCATTAATGATGCTTACCATTTTTCATGTGTTTGGTGGCCATCTGAATGTCCTCTTGCGAAGTGTCTATTCTAGTCCTCTGTCAGTTTTAAGACTGGATTATTTATTTATTTATTGTGATTTGGGTGAAAGTTTACAGAGCAAATTCACTTTCCATACAGTAGTTAATATACACTTTGTCTCCTGACATTGACTACAATTTACCACAATGCAACAGCTCCCCTCCTACTTCCTCCTGATAGTTACCTCTTCCCTGTGTCCATCCCTCCATGCACTCCTGCCCTCTGAGCTGTCTCCCTGTGCATAAACAGCCCTTCTTTCTCCCATGATTGTTCCCTCCAGGAAGTGTATCTACCTCAGGTAAATGTTCAACTCATATGCCTGTCTTTTGTTTGACTGGAAGCCATAGGTGTGGGTTCAATTCCAGACCTGAAGGGCATCTAGGGGCCATAGTTTCAGTGGTTCTACCAGGCTCTATCAGACCAGCAAACCTGGTCCCTTTTATAACTGGATTATTTTTTTTGTTGTAGTTGTTGAAGTTTTATATATATTTTGGTTAAGATTCTTGTTAGATATATGGTCTCCAAAGATACTCTTTTTCGGTAAAGTCTTTTGATGAACAAAAGTTTTTAACTTTTATAAAGTCACATTTATTTATATTTAGTCTTGTGCTGTTTGTACTTTTGTTAAAATATTAATCTATTGTTGAAAAATAGGGCTGATAATGCTGCCCCTGCTTTTTCTTCTAAGAATTTTGATTTTAGTGTGTACATTTAGGTCCTCAATCCATTTTGAACTTGTTTTTGTGTATGGTACGAGGCAAGGATCCTGTTTCATTTTTCTGAAAGAGGAAATTTAATTTTCCCAGCAACATTTATTGTAGAGACTCTTCTTTCCCCATCAAAAGGACTTAGCACCCTTATGAAAAGTCAGTTGACCACAGATTTGTGGATTTATTTCTGAACTCTCAGCTCTATTCCATTGGTCTATGTGTCTATTGTTATATACTAGTACCAGGCTGTTTTAATTACTATAGCTGCAGAATATGTTTTAAAAAATTAGGAAGTATGAGTCTTCTCAGCATTGTTTTAGCTATTTTGGGCCTCTTATTTTTCCATATAAACTCGAGGATTGATTTTTCTATTTCTGTAAAAGAGCCTGTTGGAGTTTTTTTTTTTTTTTTAATTGTGCTTTGGGTGCAAATTTACAAAGCAGATTTGTTTTACATTCAACAGTTCATGCACATTTGATTTCACAGCCCCAATTACAATCCCCAACCATAAAAAGCTCTCCTCCCCATGACTATCCTCCTCCCTGTGCCCTTCTTATCTATGCATTCCTGTCTTTCCAGCTTTCCCTCTATGTGAATGCTACTCATTTGATGTCTCATAGTTGATTGATTTAAGGAGTGCACCTCCCTAGGGTAAGTGCTCTGCATGTAGGTCTTTGTGTTGTTGGGCTGAGAGCCAGTCCACAGAAGTAAGTCCATTTCTAGGCCTGAAAGATAACCCGGGGCCATAGTCTCAGGGGTTCCACCATACTCTATCTGACCAGTAATTCTAGTCATTTTTGTGTTCTTGAATTTTGTTAAGGCTATTAGAATTCTGATTGGTATTGCATTGAATCTATACATTACTTTGGGTGGTACTGACATCTTAATCAAACTCAAACTCTCATTGTCGTCAAGTCGGATCTGACTCATAGCAACCCCTCCTTGGGTTTCTGAGGCGGTATCACTATGGAAGTAAATCGCCCCATCTTCCTTCCGAGGAGTGGCTAGTGCGTTTGAACCTCCAGCCCTCTGTTTAGCAGTCAAATGCCTTAGGCACTATGCCACCAGAGCTCCCTCTGACATCTTAATAGTAATACTAAATCTTCCAATCTATGAACATAGAACATCTTTCTATTCATTTAAGTCTTCTTTAATCTCTTTCAACAGTATTTTATAGTTTTCATTGTGTAAGTACTTCACATCCCTAGTCAGATTTATTCCTTGCTGTTTTATTCTCTTAGATGCTACTGTAAACGGAATTGTTTCCCTAATTTCTCTTTCAGATTTCTCATTGTTGGTGTATAGAGACTGAATTAATTTGTTTGTTGACCTTGCACTCTGCAGCTTTGCTAAACTCCTCTATTAGCTTTAGAAGTTTTCTGTAACAATACTTTTTAGTACTTTACTCTTGTCAATTAACAATATACCCTGGAAAATCATTCTGGATCAGTTCATAAGGATCTTCCTCATTCCACTGAGTATGTATGTGACTAGAGTTTATTCAAACAATTTCCTAAGCATAAGCATGTAAGCTATTTCCAATTACAAATAATGCTGCAATCAATAAATCTGTGCACATGTACTTTCATATTATCAAGATGTACCTTCAGGGTCAATTCCTAAGAGGATTACTAATTCAAAGGATAAATGCAACTGCCTCTAATATAAACAAAGAGATTGTCCATTATACTCCTCTGTATCCCAATCAGTTTCAATCATCCAATATACATTCTTTATTACAATGTCAACTGCATACTATCCACTGCTTATGTTCTCCTAAATTTAAGGAGCTCCCAACTTGCTGACTTGTCAAGCTATTTGTACCAGTCAAGCCAATAGGATTCTACTTAAGCACAGAAATAGAAGACTTTATTAGTTTGGGGCAATACCTGGAAAAATTATGGTATATCATAATTTGGCTGACTACTGCTTATTTAAGGTAATCCAACAAAAAGTTCAAATCCCAATAATAACCCACTTAACCAAATCACTTACCTAAAAAGAAAGGATGAACAACATCTGCCGTATCTTTTTCTAGTCTTAAGAGTTCAATTTCCAAGTCTGTCTATATTAGGAACAAAAGTAATATTTAGCTTATTCAGAAAGTAGCCTGAAGAAAAGGTTTAAACTTTGTTAAATATTCCTAGTCTTTAACCTAGGAATATCTAAAAGGTGTGGGATCTTTATGAGAGGTCACCAGATTTAATAAACCTTTTCACTCTGTTTTTTTAAGCCCTGCTGCTGCTCTTCCTCCTACTAACTACTATTACTATTATCACTACTATTAACTACTACAAATAAATACTTATCAAGTTATGTGCCAGACACTGTTCTAAGTACAAGAGAATTGCTGATGTTTGAATCAATTAAGATTTTTCTTCTGTGCTAGAAGTAGAAAGTAAAATTGTAAAATAATTTACCTGGTAGATTTCAGCTTGAATATTTGTGATGCGTTGTAATCTGGAGAAATTCACAAAGCAAGAAGCTGATTTCTTGGACACATTTAACATCTCCTATGGGTAAAAAAAAACAGAGAAAGCAGCAAGCAGCAGTGTGTTACAGAAAGTTTTTGTGTGTATTGAAATAGCATGCCAGTGGGTCTAAAATATAAAGATATATCACGTCCAACACTGTCCCTGAATGTGAAGTAGAGTAAAACAGTAGCAATATATATTTACTGTTTTTAAAATGTTCACTATCCAGAGGACATCAGGCTCAACTGGCATGGCATGCTGCACAGAACATTGTTCCACCTCCTACTTTGGCGAGTAGCAACTAGGATCTTAGGAGTTGCAAGCAGCCATCTAGATGTGGCGATGGTCTCTCCTCATCCAGAGCAAAGAAGAATAAGGAAAGCCACAGATTCATGTAAACAATTAGTCCTCCCAACTGGTACACCATACAATCCTCACCCTATAGGACTACAAGACCAGAAGAACTAGATGGTGCCCAGCTACCAATGTCGGCCACTCGGAGGGGGATTTATGTAGGAGATCCTGCATAGAAAGGGAGAACAACGTGGAACAAAACTCAAAATCATTTTGGGGTAAAAAAAAGGTGGGGGGAAACCAGGTTTGCTGGTCTGATAGAGCCTGGTGGAACCACTGAGACTATGGCCCCTAGCTGCCCTTCAGGTCTGGAATTGAACCCACACCTGTGGCTTCCAGTCAAACAAAAGACAGGCATATGAGTTGAACATGTATCTGAGGTAGATGCACTCCTTGGAGAGAACAATCATGGGAGAAAGAAGGGCTGTTTATGCACAGGGAAACAGTTCACGGAGCAGGAGTGCATGGAGGGATGGACACAGGGAAGAGGTAACTATCAGGAGAAAGTAAGAGAGGAGCTGTTGCATTGTGGTAAATTGTAGTCAATGTCTTGAGACAATGTGGTTGTGAACTACTGTATGAAAAGTGAATTTGCTTTGTAAACTTTCACCCAAATCATAACAAAAAAATTTTTTTAAAAAAAGTTCACTATCATAAATCACATGCCCAAATATTTAAAAAAACAAAAACAAACAAGATTTGATAAGTTTGTACTAATGTCTAAGGCATTTGTACCATACACAATAGATTTGTATTACTGATACCCTTCCAAATGACCCAGATCTAGTCTCTTTGATCTTCCTGTAGTAAAAACATTCCCTTCCCCCATTGAATCATTTAGATGATTCATCAAATGACCGCTGTTGGCAACAAGTCACTCATACTATCTTTGTTCATATTCTTACTTTTTTACAGGAATGTTTGAATGCAGGCATAATGATTCTTCTAAAAAGAATAATGTTAAATATTTAGCTTTTTATATATACTTTTATTTTATTACTCTCGGTTATGCTGCCCTCTCCTTTACTTGTTGTTGTTGTTGTTATTTGCCATCGAGTCAGCCCTGACTCATAGCGACCCCTCCTTGGGTTTCCGAGGCAGTATCACTACGGAAGTAGGAATGCCCAACCTTCCTTCCGAGGAGTGGCTGGTGGGTTTGAACCGCCAGCCTTCTGGTTAGCAGTCAAGTGCCTTAGCCACTATGCTACCAGAGCTCTCCTTTACTTAGGTTGTAGATTATCTTAGAATAAGAATATTTATCTTGTTCATGCATTGGCTTCATCCAAAATTTTCAATATTCTCTTCTTTGTTTCTAGAATGTTAGCACAAGAAAGAACTTTAAAAGATTATATAGGCCAGGGATTGCAAACTATAGTGTACAAACCAAATTCCTGTTTCATATGGCCCATGAGATAAGAATGGTTTTTACATTTTTTTTGTTTAAAAAAATCAAAAGAATGGTATTTTGTGACATGTGATAATTAAATGAAATCCAAATTTCAGGGTCCAAAAATTAATTTTACTGGAACATAGCATGTCTCATTCATTTATATATTACATCTGCCTGTTTTTGCTCTACAACAGAACTGAATAGTTGCAACCCATGGCACACTGGTGATTCGAATGTGAAAGCTGGAGACAAAGAAGCATGGGTAGTTGGAAAATATGGTCTTAGTAATAGATATGTCAGAGATGGCATGATGGAATTTTGCAAGACCAACAACTTCTTCATTGCAAATACCTTTTTTCAACAACATAAATGGCAACTATAAACATGGACTTTGCTAGATGGAATACACAGTAATCAAACTGACTACATCTGTGAAAACAGACAATGGAGAAGCTCAGCATCATCAGTCAGAACAAGGCCAAGGGCCAACTGTGGAACACATTATAAATTGTGCATAAAACAAACAAACAAACAAAAACTCACTGGCCATCAAGTCGACTCCGACTCATAGCAGCCCCTATTGGGTTTCCAGAGCTATAAATTTTTATGGAAGCAGACCATCCGTCTTTCTTCTGCAGAGCAGCTGGTGGGTTCGAACCACCTACCTTCTTGGTTATCAGCCAAATGTCTTAACCACTACACCACCAGAGCTCCTTAAATTGCTCTTATCCAAGTTCAAGTTGAAGCTGAAGACAATTCAAACAAGTACACGAGAGCCAAAATATAACCTTGATTATATACCACCTGAATTTAGAGACCATCTGACGAACAAATTTGATGCACTGAACACCAACTACCAAAGCCCAGATGAGTTTTAGGATGACATCATACATGAAGAAAGCAAAAGGTCATTAAAAGGACAGGAAAGGAAGAAAACATCAAAATGGTTATCAGAAGAGCAGAGAACTCTAAGCAGAGAATAGGTAAAGCTAATGTAAGAAATGATGAAGGAGAAGATTGTTTTCACATTGTGAGGACTGCAATGAATGTTACAAAACAAAATGTGTATGAATTGCTGAATGGAAACCCAATTTACTCTAAACTTTCAGCCATATCACAATTAAAAAGGTTAAATAAAATAATAAATAAATAACCCTTCTTTAAGGGAAAAAAAAAAAAGGATGAAGAAAAAGAGCTGAATAGAAGATTTCAAAGGGCAGCTCCAGAAGAAAAAGTGAAGTATTATAATGAATTGCGCAAATACCTGCAATTAGAAAATCAAAAGGCAAGATACACTCAGCATTTCTGAAGCTGAAAGAACTGAAGAAAAAAATTCAAGCCTTGAGTTGAAATACTGAAGGATTCTATGGGCAAAATATTGAATGATGTAGGAAACATCAAAAAAGATGGTAGGAATACAGTCTCTGTACCAAAAAGAACTGATCAATGTTCAACCATTTCAGGAAGTAGCAAATGATCAAGAACCGATGGTTTTGAAGGAAGAAGTCTAAGCTGCGCTGAAAGAACTGGTGAAAAAACAGGCTCCATGAACTGAAGACGAAAACAACTTAGGTGGCCATCAACAGAAGAAAAGATAACCAAACTAGGGTACATACACACAATGGAATACTATGCAACCCTAAAGAATAATGTAGAATCTGCAAAACACTGTATAATGTGGATGAACTTGGAGGACATTATACTGAGTGAAATGAGTCAATCACAGGACAAATATCATAGTAGTCTGTTATTTTAAAAAGTCAAGGAAAAGTTTATATATGGAAGGAGATTTTCTTTGTTGGTTACCAGGCATGGGAGAGGAGGGGTGGGAATAGTGCCAGATAGATAGAGATAACTATTGATTTGGTGAAGAGAAGGGTAATTTACCAAATGTGAGTGATCAACATGGTGGCACTGAGGAAGAAGACACAGGTGCATGGGAGGTACAGACAACAAAGATGAACCCTTTTGCAAATACAGTACTGAGTTATCAGTGATAGCAAACATTGATTTATGGGTAGATAGATGGGTGGACAGGCTGAACAATCGGGTATGTCTATGCAGTGGGGAGTGTGTCCATGACCATATATAGGCTTGGCAGACAATGTTTCTATAAGTATATTTGTATGTTGTATAAGAATTTCTAGGTATATAGTAGAGCTGACAAGGGACAAGGTTGTGGTCACTTCTTGGGCACAGCCAGCTAACCAGAGGGAGCAAGTAGTTGGATCTGTGTGCTTGGGACCATGGTCGCAGGGAACATCAAGCTCAATTGGAATAACATACTACACAAAAACATTGTTCCACATCTTTCTTTGGCGAGTAGTGACTGGGATCTTAAAAGCTTGCAAGCGGCCATCCAGATGCTGCGATGGGTCTCTCCTCATCTAGAGGAAAGAATGAAGAAAACCAAAGATTCATGGAAACAATTAGTCCAAGGGACTGGTACACCCTGCAATCCTCAGCCTATACGACTATGAGACCAGAAGAATTAGATGGTGCCTGGCTATCACTATCAACCACTAAGAGGGGGATCTATGTAGGAGATCCTGGATAGAGTGGGAGAACAATGTGGAAAAAAACTCAAAATCATTTTGGGGAAAAAAAAAAGGGACCACGTTTGCTGGTCTATAGAGCCTGATGGAACTTCCGAGACTATGGCCCCAGCTGCTCCTCAGGTCTGGAATTGAATCCACTCCTGTGGCTTCCAGCCAAACTAGAGACAGGCATATGAGGTAAACTTTAGGTAGATTCACATTGGAGAGATCAATCATGGGAGAATAGAAGGGCTGTGTATGCACAGGGAGACAGCTCAGGGGGCAGGAAAATCTGGGAAAGAAGGACACAAGGAAGAGGTAGCTATGGGGAGGAAGTGGGAAGACAGCTGTTGCATTGTGGGAAATTGCAGTCAATGTCATGAGACAAAGTGTATCTGAACTGCTGTATGGAAAATGAATTTGCTCTGTAAACTTTCACCCAAATTACAATAATAATTTTTTCAAAAAAATTCTTTGTCTTAGATTGGGACTCTCATACATTGCTGGTGGGACTATAAAATGATACAATCACTGTGGAAAGCAGTATGGCAATTCCTTAAAAAGTTGTTATTAGAAATACCATTTGATCCAGCAATCCCATTACTAGGTATATATCCTAAAGAAGTGAGAACCAGGACAAGAACAAATATATGCACACCCATGTTCATCGCAGCACTATTTACAATAGCAAAAGATGGAAACAACTTAGGTGCCCATCAACAGAAGAATGGATAACCAAAGTAGGGTACATACACACAATGGAATACTATGCAACACTAAAGAATAATGTAGAATCTGCAAAACACTACATAACATGAATGAACATGGAGAACATTATGCTGAGTGAAATAAATCAATCACAGAAGGACAAATATAGAATTAGTTCATTATTGTAAAAAGTCAAGGAAAGGTTTGTATACAGAAAGAAACTTTCTTTGTTGGTTACCAGAGGTGGAAGAGGAGGAAAGGAAAACACTGCAAAAATAAAAACTAAATTAAAATTTAAAAAATTTCTTTCTCTTCTTTCCTTCAATCTCAATGTCCTTGATCCCATTTCCCCCATTCTCTTCTGTCACTTTTGCCACTGTATTCCATTATTCCTTCATATCTTCAATGTCTCCCTCTACTGGCTCCTTCCTCTTAGCTTATGAACACGTTCTTGCCCAAGTTAAAACTGCCTGCCCTTAGGTTAGTCTCTCTCCTATGTTCTCCACAAAATTAATCCCTTCTTTTATTTACTTTCCAAAGTCTTTCAGGTCTTCTATTCTATTCAAACCCACCAGCCACTCCTCGAAAGGAAGATGGGGCAATCTACTTCCGTAATGATACTGCCTCGGAAACCCAAGGAGGGGTCGCTATGAGTCGGGGCCAACTCGACGGCACATAACAACAACAACGACATTCTATTAATATTATTTGCCTTTAAGGGTGCATCTTTCCCAGGCGCTCTCTGTACCCAGCACATGTCGCTCCAAATATGCTTCAATTCTTCTCACAAACGAGCATTGTTTGAGAATGCGTGTTTCAACTATCTGAACGTACTTCCCAGCCCAGACATCCACTACAATCTAGAGGCAGTTAACAGTGGAAGAAAAAAGGCGGGTCAACGCTGCTCTATTTTACCCCCCACAAACTGCAGCCCCTTAAGAGAGTCTACTCGAAACACCATCTACTCCAGAGACCGCTTTCGAAAAACCCACGGCAGAAGGGTCATTGTTGTAACCAGAAAGGGGCTCCATTCGCCTCTACTCTAATACAGCCCCTAGCCTCCTTCACTCACACCCGGTACACATCACAGCCGCCTGTGTCGTCACCGTGATTATCCCTTTCACGACGCCCTAGCAGTCCCACGCACCTGCGTGACTAGCCCCGAAGCTATGAAATGGTCCAGCATTAGTCCAGCAGCGTTTGGTGCCGACGCTGGGTCCCAGGGGTTGGCAGCGGCCATGGTTCTGTGGCACCACCCGCGGTGGCGCCCAGGGACAACAGAATGCTGGCTAAAGAGCGGCGCAGCCCGATGACGTTGTAGGGCGTTTACTACTAGGCGGAAGCCCGGGAACGCATCCCTGGCGGGCACGGGTCCTGGGTCTTCCTCTGCTTAGCGATTTGTGAACTGAGGGGTGGGAAGCGAGTCCAAGGCTCCCTGATCCTCCGTGATCTCCCAGCGGCGCCTGGCCTCGGAAGAGCTGCAAAAGCAGCCTACCTGGTGGCCGGGCTGTCTGTCCTTCCTTTTCTTCCTTGACACTCCCGGACTGGCCCCCAGATTCCAGGGATCAGCGGGAGGTGGCAACTAGTGCCGCAGCTCCAGCTGAGGGCCGACGGGGTGACCAGGTACTTGGACCGGGCGGTGAGAGTTGCGCTTCCTTCCCGCAGGGACTCGAGCCGCGGCGCTAGGATGGGGAACAGTGCCCTCCGCGCTCATGTGGAAACCGCGCAGAAAACTGGCGTCTTTCAGCTGAAGGACCGTGGACTGACTGAGGTGAGACTGGGAGGGATCGGCTCAGGGAACTTAAGGGAAGAGGGACGGCGGGGTCGGTGAAGTTAAACCGTGAGGGGGTTGTTCACTCTGTGAACCCCTTTCTCCAGTTTCCCTTAGAGTTGCAAAAGCTGACGAGCAATCTCAGGACCATCGACTTGTCCAACAACAAGATCGAGAGTCTACCGCCTATGTTGATAGGGAAGTTCACTCTGCTGAAGAGCCTCTCCTTGAACAACAACAAACTGAGTATGACTTAAGCGCCTGGGAAGCTTTTGCTACTGATTAGCTGTTAAGGGTGGTTTTCTCTTTCAAGCTGATTTTGTTGTTATAAAATCGTTCAGAGGACTTGAACGATTACATATACAAACCTCCTCGAGTGATATGATTGGTACTGGGTCAAGTTGGCCTTGAAAGGGAAGAATGATCTCTGGGATGTAATATAAACAGAGCTACCTAATTTTGGGTCCGACTCCACGGCACATAACACCACCACTTAATTTGGAAAGGGGGATGGCATGGGAAGAGAAGACTTTCTAAATCCCACATAGTTGCTACTGGATTGTGCCAAGACCCCTTTATAAAGGAAGCACATTATACACAAATATGCCAGGTATTGTTGTTGTTGCTATGTGCCGTCGAGTCAAACCCGACTCATAGCGACCCCCTCCTTGGGTTTCCGAGGCAGTATCACTACAGAAGTAGGATTGCCCAACCTTACTTCCCAGGACTGGCTGGTGGGTTTGAACCGCCAGCCTTCTGGTTAGCAGGCAAGTGTCTTAGCCACTATGCTACCAGAGCTCCCAGTAGGTATAGTAGGGAGTAGGTAATGAGGAAATGGAGGCTGCATGTTCATGGCACCCTCACATTCTGAAGACTATGTTGGTCAAAACCAGTACTTAAAAATAACTCAAGATGCGAAGCAGGCTGCCATACAGTCTTTAGAAACTTAAGCTGTTTTTCAGCTCTTTAGATTGAAGTTTTCTAATATTTTTCTTTGCCAGCTGTTCTGCCAGATGAGTTATGCAATCTGAAAAAACTGGAGACACTAAGCCTAAACAACAATCACCTGGTAGATCTACCACCTGCCTTTGGGCAACTCTCTGCTCTCAAGACCCTGAGCCTTTCTGGGAACCAACTCCGAGCACTGCCACCCCAACTTTGTAGCCTGCGGCACCTGGATGTAATGGATCTCTCTAAGAACCAGATTCGGAGTATACCGGACATAGTCGGGGAGCTTCAAGTCATCGAACTCAACCTCAACCAGAACCAGGTCCAAAGCTTAAGGGTTTTTCCTAAAGCATGTGTAAATAACTCCTTGTTCCCTAAGTGTAATTATGGAGAGCTGGGTACCTGAAAGCAGAGGCCAGATCAGAGTACTTCATGGGCTGGACTAATTTCAAAGCCCAAAAGGCCATGCAGTTAGTTGGGATGCTGTGTGTGTGTTATGTAGGTTTTTGGAGGGTGAAATAGGTAACAGGATGAGAAAATTGCAATAAATGACTGCCTCAAATCTTGAAGAGTTCTTTAGATCCTCTTCAAATATGTCCCAATCATCTAGCAAGGAGCTGTGTCAGAAAGATAAAGGAGAAAAGAAACTGGAACTTATAGGATCTCCGAGTTTGACATCTTTGTCAATCGTGTGCCTTGCTTTTGCTGAAAAACTCTAAGGATTGGCTTTCTGGAGACAGCAGCTGACTCGTAGCAACCCCTCCTTGGGTTTCCTAGGCAGTGTAACTACTGAAGTAGATTGCCCAACCTTCCTTCCAAGGAGTGGCTGGTGGGTTTGAACCGCCAGCCTTCTGGTTAGCAGTCACATGCCTTAGACACTATGCCACCAGAGCTCCTCTATTCCATTGTTGGACAGCTTTAATTGTAATACTTGAAATTTGTTTCCATTACTATGGAAGCTATTTGGTTAATATTAATCTGTCTGGAGAAACAATCCTTGGTCTAGGCATAAGGTGCAAATGATGAAACTATTAAGCATAGCGAAACAGCTTATTGAAATTATGTAAAATATAAAATTCAGTTTCTCAGTTCCCACATTTCAAATGCTTAAAAGGCACGTGACTAGTAGCTACTGTATTATATGAAGAGATAAAAAACATTACCATCACTGCAAAAAGTTTTCTAGAAAAAAGTATTCTACAATGCAAGATGGCTATCTGTATCGTTCAGCACCTGGTTTGGGGAACTTCAGACAATTATAGTTTTTCAGACATGGTATGTTCAAGTCTACTTTAGATAGAGGCACACTGTAAACTGTAAAGCAATGTAAATATTAGGCATTGCATACTAAAACCTTGCCTTCTGTGGACAGTTTTTCTGCAAGAAATGGTTGTCCTCAGTCTCTCTCTTTATAATGATCCCAATTTATTTTTGAGAAAAGGAACGCCTAAGTGATCTATAATGTCCTTAGGATAAAGTTCAGTCTTTGTGGAGATTGGCATCTTTTCTCTAAATGGAAATTGTTTGATATTCTCGAGCATTTTTTGGGGAAGAAATGGTGCAGCATTTAGAAGGCAAAAAAGGTGACTAAGTCAAAGACAACTTCTTGGCATCAGCTTAAGGGCCTAAAAGAACAGTGGTGCAATGGAGAATGGACATGCTATGATGATGAGTTATCCAAACAGAAATGTTTTACTAAGAAATAATAGGAGTGGAATAGAGGAAAGCAGATATGGATATAAATACATAATTTTAGGTTGTAACAGAAGTGATAGCAATAAAAATAGATGAACTTTCTAGCTAGACAAAGTATAGAGAGAAGATCAAATATGAACTATTAGGGACTACTGCTTGAGAAGTGTTCATAGGAACAAGAAAGGAGGACAAATACAAAATAAAAAGGGTGAAAAAAGTCAAGTAATTAGGCACAAGAGGGAGTTTCAAAAAAGGATATATAGTCAAATGCAACAGAAGATGAGGAAAGACAGTGAATCCTTGACTTTGGCAGTAATGTGATCAGCATACATATACAAAAAACTGGCTGTAAATGTACCAACATATTTATGGAGGTTATTTCTAGGTGGTGGGATTTATAGGCAACTTTTTCTTCAAATTTGTGTGATTTTCAAATTTTCTATAATGAACATATGGTGCTTTTATTATCAGAAAATTTTGTTTCAAAAATGTCACCAGTGACCTTCAAAAAAGCAATTTCAGTGGAGGAGTAGTGACACAGCCAGATAATAGAGGCTTCTGGAGGGAGTAGGTAATGAGAAAACGGAGGCGGTGAAAGAAAAAAGAATTAGGACAAATAGTGAGTCAAGTAAAGTTTTCTTTTTTATTTTTAATGTAAAAATTAGCTGTTAAGAGTGCTTATGCTTTTTCCTTTTTCTTTGCTCAATAGATATCTCAGATCTCAGTGAAGATATCTTCCTGTCCCCGACTCAAAGTTCTTCGTCTGGAAGAGAACTGTCTTGAGCTTAGCATGCTTCCACAGAGCATCCTTAGTGATTCACAGATCTGTCTGCTTGCTGTGGAAGGCAATCTTTTTGAGATAAAGAAACTTCGAGAACTTGAAGGCTATGATAAGGTATGCAAGTATTTAGTGCACAGTATTTCTAATCACCCTTCCAAAAATAAAGAAGTGATCCACATGAACATTAATAGCTAATGTCAACAGGATTTGTTCTTCCCATTTTGGAGGTGGGTTCTACAAATGAACCAAATGTGAGTGTATTGTGCCATGATGACTTTTTCCCTGTTGCTGTTGTTATGTGCCATCGAGTTGTCTCCCAACTCATAGCGACCCCTCCTTGGGTTTCCAAGGCATTATCTCTATAGAAGTAGATTGCCCCATCTTCCTTCTGAGGAGTGGCTGGTGGGTTTGAACCACCAACCTTCTGGCTAACAGTCAAGTGCCTTAGGTACTATGCCACCAGAGCTCCTGACTTTTTCCCTAGACAGCTTATTATAAAGCATCTTTATCTTTTAGTGGTTTTCTTATTTTAAAAAAAAAAAATTTTAACTATTGGGCAATCTACTTTCACTGCCTCAGAAACCCAAGGAGGGGTCACTGTGAGTCGGATCCAACTTGACAGCAGTTGGGTTTGGTTTGATTTTGGTATATGCATTAAGTTTGCACTTAGAATAGCTAGTAGATTTTGTAGGAAATAAAGGACCATATCCAATAAAACCAAAAGAAAAAAATCATAAAAACTTAAGTAACAAATAAGTTTCTATTTGCCCATGCTGAAAAGCAACTATTTATTCTTCTTTCATGATTACAGTACATGGAGAGGTTCACAGCCACCAAGAAGAAGTTTGCATGATATTCTCCAGGAGCATGGCAACCTTACAGGACACCGACTTGGAACCTCCGTTGGAACCTGGCTGACTCCTGTCGTTGTCAAGGATATGTGCAATAAGGAGACGACACTCCAGGAGATATTTCGCTCAACAATCTTTGTTCTTTTCAGGGCTCACTTAAGTGAAAAGAAAAAGAACCAAGACATAGAAAGAGTCCTCCATTTGGAATCATGTATAGGGCAATGGACAATGTTGATCTTTAAAACCATCATTAGTTAGGCTTTAAGAGATGGGTAGCTCGTTGCTATTTATACAATGAGGGGGTGCTGCCTAGTAACAAAATAGCTCCACAACACAGCTTGAAATTTCATGTTTAACTTCAAAGTGTGAGCTTTCATAAAGTCAACTGCCATTCCACCTCTGTGTTAACACTTCATATTTTTATGAAATTCAGAGTCTGTGAGAGGCTGCTATAGTTAATGTAAGGATTTATGATTTTATTCCTGTCCATCAATTAAAGTGCAGTGTTTATCCTTAGAACTTAGGATGTACCTAAAGAATATGCGACTGTCTTGATTAAATGTGTGCTTTGTCAGAGAAGCATCAAAACAACACTAAGAAATGTCCCAAGGCTGCAGTAGCAAATTCTTTACTATTGCATGTGCCTTATTGGTAGAGGTCTCTGAAGAGATAAAAACTGTATATGCAAAACTTGTAAGGTAAAAGGAATTTTAATAATCAAGATCTTCCTCAATTTTTATTAGAAATGTCTTATATCCTTTTTTGTATTTATAACTCTACTAATGAAATTACCTATCAAGAAACCATTGCTACACTATTTTAAAACAACCTATGTTTATCAAGTTTATTCTCTAAATGAGAGAATAGACTGAATAAAGAATTTTTAATGAACTTTGGCTGCAAACAAGATTAATCCTTTAAAGGAAGAAAACAGGAGAATTTTAACAAGTAGTCCTTTTTTTTTAACTTTGAAAGTAAACTGATCAAGTGACTGTTTCATGCTCTTGTTCCAGTTATATGAGTAGTCAAATGCCTTCATGTGATTCTGTGGTGTTTAAACCATGCTTGAAGATACAAAGGTAGGTGATTTCAGATGATCACTGACAAGAACACTTAGGAAGCTACCACTCTGGTTATTCTCTAAAGTTCGCTCCTTGCAAGGGAGCTATATTCTGGACCATATACTGACTCTTTTTTTAGAAACATAACTTAGTCATTAAGTTGAGAGATCACAACAGCCAAATATTATTTAATCTGTATGAATAAGTCTCTCTGACCTTAAATCTGGTCTGGTAATGCTTATCAATCTTACCAACCCATTGAACAATTAACATTTCTCTATTTCATCAATGTACCTCATCTAATAAATCAGAACTTAAAATTTAGTAACATAAATGTTCCCATTTAATTATTAAAAATCTATTCCTACTCCTTTAAGAATCAGTTTCTACTTTTTTTCACCATTGGGACCCAGACTTATTTCCTGATACCCCTTTCTCACTCTCATGTCTGCCCAGCAATATTAATATTAGATCATTCTGCTCCCTAAATCCACGGTGCATGGTCTCTCTCCTTTACTTGTTTTTACACTGTTCACTCAGAAATGCCCTCTGTATCATGCTACTTCTTTCTCTATGTCTAAGCCCTTTCCCTAAGTCTAAGCCAAATTAACTGATCATCTGTTACCAGAACATGTCTCACATTCACTATTTATTGGTTTCTTGCTAAACAGTCCCTTGAGAGCAGGAACTATATAGAGCAATAGTGCAAATATTTAGACCCAAATATGAGCTTACAAAGTAGCTTGATTAGTATTCTGGAGACCTAGATTCTAATTTGGCCACCAGCTCTAAGTTAATTCTTTAGATCTTTGTTTGGAAGTCAGTATAGTATATTGAGTAAAATCATAGGTGTTAGCAAAAAGATCCAGGTTTTAATCCAAAGTCTTTCATTTTCTAGCTTTATGGGTTTGAGCAATTTACCTCATACCGCTCAGGTATGTTATGAGAATATGGTGAAAACAGGAAGCACTTAGCATAGTACATGACACAAAGAAAGCACCCAATAAATAGTGCCATTTATTTAATCTATAAGGCCTAAAAATAAATTTAGCAAGTTGTACAGAAATACATTGAGCAGAACTACATTGAAAAGAATGGTAAGTAGAGGATAAAGATAAGGAACTTGAATAGCAATCTGAGAAAGAAAAATCTGACTAGGAATATAACCGGAATAAACCTAAAATTTTAGAAAACGGCATTTAATGAAATTAATTCTAAATTCAATTGAGTATATGAATTTCGAATTCATATACTGGGAAGCACAAGTTTACATTATGGGGACAGTCATAATCCACACATGACAGTGAAAGCCCTGGCATGAATTAAAACTGAACGAAGAAAAAATAGGCCCAGCTATAAGGGATAACAATCATTGTCATTATAAGACTGGAAACTTGGAGAGGGAGCTTACTGTTTAAACAACAAAAATGTTCAGTGAGGGATACTGGTTTTTAACTCCTTAGTTACAGGTTTCTGAGTGGCCTCAACTATAAATGACAACTTGCAATGACACCTCTTCTAAATGAGGTGTTCATTCATAAACCACTTAAATTACTTAAGAGCCATACCTAGAATAACTGACTTGATGTGTAGTTTTTCTATCAAGGGTCAGAGCACTGTGCTAAATAAATAAATACAGGCAGTGCCTGGGTTACAAAGATTCAATTTACATACAACCCATACTTAAAAACTTACCTCAGTAAAGCCTATGATACTAAAAATTCAAGGTACATGCAATGTTTCGTAACAACAGGCACTACTTTGCGACATGCATCCAAACATCATCATTACTGATTACGTTAAAAATGTTTTAGTGTATCTGAAAGTGTTTCTTATGCATAGAAAAGTACACTGTATACTAATATACTAAGACAAGAATTTGACCTGACACTATGTACAAATTCAACTTAAAGACAGATTTAAGAACAGAATTTGTTCATAATCTGGAGACTGCCTGTATTAAGTTTAGAGAGTTAAACTGAGTGATACTTTATTGAGCAAAAAGGGGGCTAGCTTATTAGTTTTATTCACATAGTCAGCGTGTCTGGAACCACTCCTGTAGTCCCTCAATAGAACATTAAAACAGCCCTGCCATATGTGTTAGAAGTAGTTATCAACATCAGCAATTTTCTTGGAATGTCAATGAGGAGAGTAGATGCGTAGCTTCTAAGTACCACTACTTCTTTCGCTTTTATACTTCTCTTCAGAATTAGGTCTCATCTTGCAATTTAGATGATTCTAACACTTGGCAATTAGAAAGATATCTAAATAATAAGCCAAAAAGAATGACTTGAAGATACTTTGTGTCAATTAACCATCCAAAATAATAATACTTTTAATATTTAACTTAATGAACATTTAAGTCTGGATACCAATTTAAAACTGGAGAAAGTCAGAAAAAGGCTTTAAGTCAATAACTTCTATTTCTAGTGCATTATCAGCTTACTAAGTCCACTTTGTATAGGATCCTTTCTATGGCCTAATTCCTCATTCCTCCTCTGTCCCTGTAGTAGAAGCTTTGGAAAAATTCGTAAGCTGAGATCCATGGATGGATGGGCTTTCAAGGCCTCTGTGATTCTCACTCATACATGATTCATGTTTGTATATCTATTTTCCTAAGAAAAGGGACTACATTTCTTTCATTGATTCACAGAGGGATCCTTGACCAAAAAAGAGCTCCACTCTAGAGATAACAGCAGCTATCATTTATTAAGCTCTCACACTTGCCAGACACTGTTCTAAAGCTTTACATGCTTTACCACACTGAGACTTAACAACAACTCTATGAGGTAGGAATTACTTATCCCCATTTTACGGACAGAGAAACTGAGGAATAGATACAGGCTTAAAGTCAGATGGCCACAAGTGGCAGAGCTCATGTAAATCCAGGGTATTTGGTGCCTTAGCACATGCTTCTAACCAATACGCTATACTGTGGGGCAGCATATTGATATCCTCAGAACCACATTTTTTATTGCTTTAGAAAGGAGATTTAGATATAGCACAATCACCACTGTTTTACATCTTCTTACTTTACACATTCACCATCATTGCCAAACTATTAATTCGAATATAGAGCATTTCTATTACAGAGAGCCTAAGTGAGTATCATTTTATTTCAGTTAGCTTCCTCTTCAACCATTTCAAGTTCACATGTTAACGGAATCTTCTCCATGAAGTGGGCTATAGTTCTTGTTCATAAGTATCATCCTTTCAATCATGAGTATATTTAAGCCCAAATGAATAAAGACTGTTGTTGTTGTTGTTGTTATGTGCCGTCAAGTTGGACCCGACTCATAGCGACCCCTCCTTGGGTTTCCGAGGCAGTATCACTACGGAAGTAGACTGCCCCATCTTCCTTCCGAGGAGTGACTGGTGGGTTTGAACCGCCAGCCTTCTGGTTAGCAGTCAAGTGTCTTAGCCACTATGCTACCAGAGCTCCCGAATAAAGACTAGGAATGATTAAAATGAACCTCATGACAAATCATAGAAAGAAAAGCCCTATTGGTATTTCCAGTAAAAATTAGAACGGTACTACAGGCAACTTTCCAAGTTGGAGTGCTTCTTGATTATGGACCTTTGCTTTATTCAATTTGTTAAATAAGAGCTGATTAAATTGTTACCCTCAAAACAAGTCATGAAAATATGTTATCTGAAAGAACAATTCTATTGGTTAGTTACAAAATATAACCGTAAAGATCAAGCAGTAGTTATTGGTCTAACCACTCCCTATTAATTGTTTTGAAGTATGCATATTCTAGCTTTAAAATGAAAGTGACAAAATATCAATCAGATTCTCATAACACTGTTCAGGATCTAAATAAACATGATTCTGGATATAGTTCTATACACAAGGCTAAGAGAATGACACAATCATCAATAATTAAACCAAAGGCATAAATTTCCAAATCACTTTTAGTTAAACAAGTAAGATCTAACTTTAAAAAAAAAAAAAAAAAAAAAAACTCTACAGCTATGTAAAACTCAAAGCAAACTGTTTTTCTACCTGAGATCAAAGTAAGTTCCTTTTCTCCTATCTAAACATAATTCTTGGCATTGAGGTAAATCTGAATTCACTTGATATACTTCCTCACACTTTTCCAAAAACTTTCAAGCCCTGCTTTAGAGAGAAATTCTCATACATATATATATTTACATATTTTTTCTCTTCAAAGACTAATAACAAATACAGGGTTGTAATGGGACCATGATATACTATCAATAATATGCAAATAAAAAGCCATTTGTTAATACAAAGTGTTCCTGAATGGTATCATATGAGAGGGAATCACAGAATCTATGTACATATATTAATCACTAAGAGTTGAGAAATTAAGCTCACTTTAAGAAAACTCATTCTATTCCTCTTTTAGGAGAAGAGGTTGCAAGGTTGTGACATATAACAAAAATATTGTGTATAAACAAGCTTTAGACTAAAGTGGCAGAAACTGCAACTTGAATTAAAAACTAAACCCAACTATACCTTTACTGTGGCTATGTAACTCCTTGCTAGGAGCCTGCAGGATTTTACTGAGGTAACATCCCTAACCCTCCCCTCTTTCACCTCAAACAACTCTACAGCTTTCTTCTTCAAGGGTATCTTTGGCAATGCTTTCAAATCTTGAAAGCAAAAGAACCTGCTAAAGTAAGCAAGGAAGATAGAAAAATGAGACTATATATGATGTATGAAAACCAATCTAAGAATATGAACTGATGGAAAAAATACCAGGAGGAAGGCTGAGCAGCTCTGCCCTCAAAGGAAAAAGAAATAAAAACTTAAGAGGGCTTTTGTCCTCTGGCGCTTCTTCCACATTATCTCCCGATTAGAAGAGTATGGGACCAAAATTTCAAACTCTGAAAAGATAATGATCTGAAGGAGGAGCGAAGGAAATAAATGATAAAGTACAGCAGTAGCTTTAGCTGTCAATGAGTTTCTTTGCTCTGGCATTGGCAATGTCAATACGATCTTTGTTGGTATCAGCCTGGGGAGAGAAAAAAAAAAAGATATCAGCATTACTTCACAAGATAAGTCACTCTAATAAAAGTTAAATTTTACACACTTGGAGTAATTGACACCTAAATAAAAAATTCAAGAAACACTTGAAGTCACATTACAAAACTCATTTTGGACAAGAGGTGACAGAGTATGGAATTCATTTGAAAAAATCCTGGTGTATAAATATAATAAAAGTATAAAGAGGAACTTGCTAGTATTTATCAATCCTAAAACATTTTTTCATAGTTTAACATCTCTAAAACTGGGATGTATCTTATAATTAATGGAATTTTAGGCACAATGAAATACGAGAATATGCTTTCTGCTATAGATCTGAACCTTGTGGGCATCCTCTGTACTGAGTCATAGAATCTTATCCAAACTATCCTAGGTCCAATCCAGGAATACTGAAATAACCTTCCCAAAGATCTTGAGAACAGATGTGTTACCACCCACATCAATATGTGAATTAAAATGACTGGTAATATGTAGCCTAAACCCAGGCTATAGTTCTGAGCTCAAAGATTCACCCCATTCTTTAAAGTACACTGAGATTTTAATGACGTTACAGTAAGAATGGCTTTTAGATGCATTAGGTAGATACACTCCTTGGAGAGATCAATCATGGGAGAATAGAAGGGCTATGTATGTACAGGGAGACAGCTCAGGGGGGCAGGAGTGCATGAGAGGGAAGGACACAGGGAAGAAGTAACTATGGGGAGGAAGTGGGAAGAGAGCTGTTGCATTGTGTGAAACTGCAGTCAATGTCGTAAGACAAAGTGTGTCAACTGCTGCATGGAAAATGAATTTGCTCTGTAAACTTTCACCATAAAAATTTCACAATAAAAATTTTTTTTAAAATGACTTTTAAATGTAATAAATCCAAACACAAAACAATTTCACTTTCAGTATCGTGCAGTTAAAAAAAATTAATCATACTTTCCCTTTTCTTATAGAAGTTTATTTTGTGTATCCACTGCACAAGAACCATTCTGTATAACTGCAGGGCTGATTTTCACCTACTATTCCATGGGACAAGGATTTAGGAACTTAACTCATTTGTTACTATTGTTAGTTGCTTTTGAGTCAATTCCAACTTATGACAACCCAAGAATGCAGAGTAGAACTGCACTATAGACTTTTCAAGGCTGTAACCTTTCAGAAGCAGATCACTAGTCCTGTCTTCCAAGGTGTTTCTGGGCAGATTCAAACCACCTTTTGGCTAGTAGTCAAGCACTTAACCATTTGCACCACCCCCAAAAAACCAAAGAGGTTTCCTTCCATCTAGTCCATTCTGACTCATCATCACCCTATATGACAGAGCAGAACTGCCCCATAGGTTTTCCAAGGCTGTAAATTTTTAAGGAAGCAGAATGCCTCACGTTTCTCCTATAGAGCCACTGATAGGTTTGAACTGCTGACATTTTGGCAGCCAAGCACTTCAACCACTGCGCCATCAGGGCCCCTTTTGCACCACCCAGAGACTCCTATTTTGTTATTAGATAAAGCAAAAATGAAAAAGACAACTTGCTTTGTTCAGGGGAGAAAAAAAAGACTATTCAAAGGTTAAATTCTAAACTTCATATATGAAAGTTTAAGTACAAGCACTTCATTTCAAGACCGGTTTTAAAATGAATGAACTATTCTCAGCAATGAAGAGAGGACTTGGTTATTGTTTTCAAAGTGCTAGAACTGCCACTTCATCAAAACCATTAAGACTTACACAGACAGGATCTTAACTTTATACTGTTTTTACCCTATACTAGCACAGACGGCAAGTACTAAAACACTAGACTAAATGTCTCATTCTCCTGTGTCAATAAAGAAGTGTTCACCTTTTCTGTGATCCGTTCTATTTGTCGATTTTGAGACTCAATTTCATTGCCCATGTCCAGGGCCATGTTTTTTAGATTTCCCAGGATACTGCCCACCTGAGTCAAGTTCTCCTCCATTTCATCTTCTCTGGCATCATTAGTTATACTATCACAAAAAGACAATAAATTCAGTGAGTTATAAAGGGTCTAAGTCTGGATTTAGTTTTCATAAAAATAAGTAACCAGATGTTCAAAATGGCTCCCAACACTTTTCAACATCAGCTACTTTTTTTCTTTTCTTTTTTTACAGACCACAAACAAGTAAATACACAATATATTCCAAACAGTAGTAAGTGCTTTTAAGAAGTGAAAAGGAGGATAAGGGGATAAATATCTACAACATGTGGTGGGAGGGTAGTCACTACTTCATATTGAGTGACCTCAACAGGCATCCTGGAATATCTGAGGCCTATCTGAGGAGCTGGCATACAAACAAAAACGTAAAAGAAGTTAGGCAGTGAAATAGGTGGAGATCTTAAGAAGTTTCCAAAAAGAGAAAATAGCAAGCACAAAGTATCTGAAGAAGAAATTAGCTTGGTTTATACTATTCAAAGCAAGAAGAACACTGTTGCTAGATTGAGAGACAATCAGAGAGTGAAGAGAAATGACAGAAATACAGGCAAGGGCCAGAAGAGACAAGGTTTTATAAACCCTAGTAATGACTTTGACTTTTACCCTAAATATCATGGAAAACAAATAGAGATTTCAGTGAGAGAAGAGATATTAACTGGTTTAAATTTTTTAATGAATCCAAGGAATCTGGTCTGAGCAAACAGATGAAGAGCGATATTATTTATTGAAATGAGAAAACTAGAGGAACTGGTTGGGAGGAGGGTATGAGAAAAAAAGTCTAATTTAGACATATTAAATTTATATGTATTATAGCAAAAAGAAAATGTTGAATTTTTTTTTTTCTGTTTTAACTGCCACAATTGTCAGACCACAACTCACGAAAATTCTGTATGTTACAAGAAAACCAGAAAGTTTTCTTGGCTGCAATCTTTATACAAGCAGTTCTCTAGGCCTTCTTCTTTAGTGACACTAGGTGAGTTGTAACTATCAAGCTTCAGGTTAGCATCCAGTGGCAAACCAGTTGCATCACTTATCATGTCAGCTACTTTTTTATGTTAGTGGTAGATATGCTAATCCTCACACTCTACCCTGCATCTACTGAATCAGACGCTCAAAGTAGAATCTAGGAATCTGATTCTGAGGCACATGTAAGTTTAAGAAGCACTGCTATAAAACAGATGTTGGAAAAGTATGGCCCAAGGACCAAATCTGTATGCTGCCAGCTTTTGTAAATAAAGTTTTATTGGAACATAGTCACACATATTAATTTTACAATGTCTATACAACTGCTTCTGCCCCACAAAAGAGTTGAGTGGTTGCAACAGAGTAGTTTATGGCTTGCAAAGTCTGAAGTATTTACTACCTGGCCCATTACAGACAACTTTGGCTGACCCCTATTCTAGATGATATATTTTAAAGTTATTTTTTTCCTGTTTATAGAACTAAAACACGCTTATGCCAATAATTTGGAAAGTACTAAAAAACAGGAAGAAAATTAATCCTATCATCTAAGAGCAACAATAACCACTGTAAATATACTCTCTCAAAAGGCAAACTTTAAAATGTACTTTTTTTTAATGGAATAAAATGCTATTTCTAATTGATGAGTTATAGTTCATGTATGTTGTTATTGTTGTTATGTGCTGTCAAGTTGGACCCCACTCATAGCGACCCCTCCTTGGGTTTCTGAGGCAGTATCACTACGGAAGTAGATTGCCCCATCTTCCTTCCAAGGAGTGGCTGGTGGGTTTGAATCACTAGCCTTCTGGTCAGTAGTCAAGTGCCTTAGGCACTATGCTACCAGAGCTTCTATATCCAATCTTCCGAGTGAATCATTAATTTAGGAAAGCAGGTGAAAATATCAGAACAGCTGGCCTACCGTTTAATGTATCCACCACTGGCTGCTCCTGCGGCTGCTTGTTGAGACTGGCCATTTGTCACACGGCCTGGCTGCTTAGATACTATGTTGTTAGGCGAGTTGTCTCCACCATCTCCCCATGTTGCCTTATAGGCCTTACCAGACTCAAAGTTCTTCGTCCTATATATGAATCAGGAGTATAAAGAAATACCAAAAAGCAGAAGAGTTGTAATTATTAGTGCTTGTTATCTGAAGATGGCCCTAGAACTCTTAGCAGAAAAGATGCATATGGATAGATCTACTGCATTTTCCCACATATAAAGCGTCCATGGAAATAATGCAAACACACTTGTAACACACAGCATTCATAGGAAGCCAATATGAAGGGGATGCAGTTTGTAACAAACTGTATAATGCATGTGTTATTTGCATAAATATATGGTAAATTACCTATACTATTCTCCATGAAATATGGGATAGGAAAAAAATGAACTATAAAACCCACTGATAGTAAAAAAAAAAATTTTTAAAGGTTCAGATAACTCTTTTACCCAATTTTCCCTACCCTGTTAACAAAGTAGCAAAATGTAATTATTTGATTATATCAGGTTTCCTTAGCCTCTGGCACCCTCCAGAAAGAGACAGACACTAGGAAAAAGTCCCCTAGGGAAGATATTCCAGGATGCCTTAAGAGGTTCATTGGAATTATCACAGAGGTTGATGAGGGATGGAAGAATAAAAAGCATGAATGGGTAATACTTAGACTCCAGCTACCCACTCTCACTTGAAGCAGAATAAACCAAAAACCAAACTCACTACTGTCGAGTCAATTGCGACTTATAGCAACCCCTCCTTGGGTTTCTGAAGCAGTATCTCTATGGAAGTAGATTGCCCAGTTTTCTTTTCAAGGAGTGGCTGGCAAGTTTGAACTACCAGCCTTCCAGTTAGCAGTCACATGTCTTAGGCACTATGCCACCAGAATTCCCTGAACCAGAATAGTTCCAGTTAACCAATTTTCTAAGTTAAAATTTTACATTACATTTTAACAAAAAACAAAACAAAGCCCACTGCCACCAAGTCAACCCTGACTCACAGCGGCCCTACAGTACAGAGTAGAACTATGGGTTTCCAAGGTTACAAAACTTTACAGAAGCAGAACTTTCTCCTGCAGAGTAGCTGGTGGGTTCAAATCATCAACCTTTTGGTTAGCAGCTAAATGCCTTAACCACTGTGCCACCAGAGCTCCTTATATTTTAACTAAGGGTTCCTTAAAACAAACAGGCATCATGAGAGAGAGACATGAATATTTCTAATTTCTAGTCAGCTGATGAATAACTGCCTTGGCTATGTTGTTGTTGTTAAGCACCTTCAAATCGAACCGTCTCACAACGACCCCTCCTTGGGTTTCCAAGGCGTTATCACCCCGGAAGTAGATTGCCCAACCTTCCTTCCAAGGAGTGGCTGGTGGGCTTGAACAGCCAGCCTTCTGGTTAGCAATCAAGTGCCTTAGGCACTACACTACCAGCTATACTGCTCTCAAATTTGGTTTAGGGCTTTTTTCATTTAAGAGTTTACTTCTCTTCTCCACTTGAAAAAAGAAAACAAACCTACTAAATCTAAACTTTTTAAAAATAAAGCATACGCTTCAATCGGCCAAAGCCCAAATTTTACCATGAAATTTACTACCCAAACTAGTACAAATGTAAGAAAAAGAGCCCAGGAAAGTGACTTTTAAATGGCTAGTACAAAAAAAGTGACAGAAAACCTTTATTAATATTTGGCTAGGTATAGTTAGTTAGGCTTCCTTCATATAGTATTAGTTTGTACTTTTCTATAAACAAAATGAAGTTGTATATGGCTATAATGTTGACCTCCTACTTATTGTAAGCTGTCTGTTAATGATGAAGTTTCAAAAGGCAGAGGACAGGTTATGTGAGAACAGTGGCAACTTCCTATTTAATGAACCTCTCAAGATTCATTTTTGACCAAGTTAGAATTAGATCTTAATCATGTTATAGGACAAGTGTAACTTCTATTTTTTTTAAGAGGCAGGCAGTTAAAAGGCCAACAAATCTAGGAACACTGAAGAGCTACTTAGCTCTCATTATGCCTTTCTTGGTTCCACTTGCAGTTCTTACCATTGTATTTCCTATTTATGATAATTGCTTTAGTAACTAATTATTATGTTAAATCCTTCCTAGAAAAATGTGGAATATATATACATATATATGTACATATTAAAATGCATATTTCCATACGATAATTATCTATCAGTTTGGTGATAAGGACTCTGTTAATGTTAAGACAGGTCCAGGGGAAATTCTAAAACAGAGTTAACAGTACATAAAATAAACAATGTATTTGTTTGTCAGAAACTTAATAACTACAATTATTAATAGAAGTAATGGGACAAAACTGTTTTCAGGATGTCAGATTGGGGAAAATGTAGGAGAGGTATAGATGGGAATTAGTGTCACAAAATAATAAGACACTACATTCCTTGAGAAAGAGAACAGGATTTGTGGGTTCTGGTCTACCAACCTCCTTCTGTTATAACCTTAAGAGGTAAGAGTTGAAATTCCCTAAACGTTTAAGAATTCTTCTTTCCACAATGAGACATAAGTGGCAAAAAGTGCAAATGAATTAACATAACGTAAATGAGTTTCAGTTAAAGCATAGTATATAGACAAAGAATCCAGGACTGGTGACCAAACCCTCTTCTCTGTAAGAGGACTGGATCTTTGATGACGTTCTTCTAACATCAAAGAGAAAAAAGCACAAAAAGCAGACTCTGGATTTTTTTTTTTTACAGCTTTGTACCGGGTTAGTCATGTTTACCTTCAAATTGGTCATGACAAACTGCACTATTCTTTTCCCCCATGCAGTTCTGATGTGTTCTGCAGGTTTATGAAGACGTGATTTTTTTTAATGCTGTTAATTTAATTTTACATAATCTTCAACCTCGAGATAGCTCCATGTCGCTTTTTAGCACCTCCACTCCAGGCAATGCCTTATAGTTGCTCAAGACCTGATGCTTCCCTCACTGAAAATTCCAGGGATGACTCAAGGGGTAACTCCAGGATCTTCCCCACACCCTTGATAGTTACCTATATTCAAGACATTGTCAGGTAGCTGCCCACTTAAACACGTAAAGTAAAAATGTTTTAAAAAAAAAAAAAAAAGGTAGTAATAATGGTTTTAATCTAATTTATCTTCCTTTCAAAGGATCATACATGCTCTAAAGGTAGTATTTCTGAAACCTGACTGAGCACCAAAGCAACCTCAGTGTTTCTGAACATAAGAGTTGCACAGGTTATACTGTGAAAATTCTGCTTCAGAGTATGTATGAAGTGGAGCCTGGGAATCTTTTGCTGTTTTATATGAATTTCATAGGTGCAGTAGCGACCCACCAAGGGAGAGAAACACTGTCCTAAGGGATTTCCAGCATCCTGTAGAAGGAATATTTTCAGTTATTTTTGTGTGTGTTTGTGATTTGGGTGAAAGTTTACAGAGCAAATTCATTTTCCATATAATAGATCATATACATTTTGTTTCATGACATTGACCATAATCCCCATAATGTAATAGCACTCTTCCCACTTCCTTCCTGTGGTTACCTTTTCCCTGTGTCCTTCTTTCCTAGGCATTCCTGCCCTCTGAGCTATCTCCCTGTGCAAATACTGTCCTTCTCTTCTCCCATGATAGACTGTTCTAAGGAGTGTACCTACCTGGTGTAAATATTCACCTTATGTCTATCTATTTTTTTGCTGGAAGTCATAGGAGTACATTCAATTCCAGGCTATTTTAGGCTATTTGGTAGTCTTACTATTTCTACAGGTTGGGACCTGTTAAAAGGCACAGGAATTAATCCGGAGGAAGCAAAGGGACACACTGGAATTTTAAAAAGCTGCAAGATTTAGAATAAAATGACCTGAACCTAATACTAGAACTATCATTCGGTAGCTGTAGAATCTTAAGCAAACTTCAGAGTATCCCTTTTCTTAGATGTAAAGGCTAAAATGACAGTAACAGTACATATGCTTCACAGGGCTGTGAAGTTTGTTACTAACAGATGTAAAATTGCTTTGTAAAGCACTGTATAACTAGGTAAATACGCTCCTTGGAGAGAACAATCATGGGAGAATAAAAGGGCGGTGTATGCACAGGGAGACAGGTCAGGGGGCAGGAGTGCATGGAACGAAGGACACAGGGAAGAGGTAACAGGGAGAAAGTGGGAGGGAAGCTGCTGCATTGTGCTAAATTGTAGTCAATGTCATGAGACAAGTGTATGTGAAGTGCTGTATGGAAAGTGAATTTGCTCTGTAAACTTTCACCCAAATCACAATTAAAAAAAAAAAAAGCACTGTAGAAATATTTTGATTCACTGGCTTCAACCTCAAAGTGATTCTCAGTTAACAGTTCTGTCTGTAGGTATACATATTACCAAAAATTAAGATCAGGTAGCTCCATATTAATTCAGTATGAAATCAAAATAAGCTAACACATGACATAATAGGAATTATAGAACTGATTGTAGCACATGTAAAGAAGGAAGATTTTATTTTACAAAATAAATTATTAGATATGGCAACTTTTAAAATGGTCTCCTGCCTTGCTCTAAATAGGATTTAAGATGACTAGACTGGCAATTAATTCCTATATTTGGTAGTAGACTAACTCATGGGCACTCCAGATCATTAGAAATGACACTTTATCAGAGGAAATCCTGACTCTGGAACCAGAAGGGAGTAGGGAAACTTAACAGAAAAAACATAAAACAGGTTGCTGAAATCAAAGTGGATCCATTGAAGAAAGAGATTCATTTGTCCTGAATTCCCTTACTTTTGATCAGAATTAGACTGCAGTAACACTCTATATAAAACTTCTTAGGAAACCAGAAGAGTTGTTATTTTGATAATCTTAAATGTTATTTATTATTTAGCAAAAGCTTAGTTATCAGAGCCATTAGTCAACATTGTAAGTTAAGATCCTTTCGTCAAATCCATCTTTTGGCAAAAAATAGCCATCAAGAATAAATTCACTTTACATTACACACCACAGCACAGATGTTAAGATAATCTCCACAATTCACAAAATCCATGCACATGCACAGAGAAACCATCTGAAGCATCACCTTTTGATGGTAGGTTAACAGCCCAAACTGCGCCACAAGACAGCAT